AAGCTGTAAGAGAGAGAAGGTTAATGCCCTAAGAACCGCCTTTTTTTCTTTTGTTTGAGTATCAAATGCCTGCTTATTATACAGATAACTATACTGCCGTCCTAAGCAAAAGTGCAGTATCTGCAAAAACTGCAAAGTGGGGAAAAGAGCGACTGAAGTTTAACTTACTCTCCTTTTCATAATAATTTATGATCTTTAAAAGAATGTGTGTATTTATAGTAATCATCACTTCCTAAATGTATTGAGATAATCATTTTCATTTTTTTTTATATTTATTCGCACAAAAATGCAGATACGGCGTTTTTTCTAAGAAATGTTTATACTATAATGTTGATATTTTCCATAAATAATAGGCCGTATCTGTTAAATAGCTATAATTAAAATATAAAATCTAGCGCCCAAATTTTCATTTTTAAGTAGTAACGAATATTTATTACTTCAGTAAAACAAAAAATCATATATTTTATTCCTAAAAAATAAAACAGAATACTAGAAAATGTAAATGATTACACATTGAAAATCTTATAATTACACATCCGATATCGCCAAATTCTCCCAAAATTGTTTCCTGTTTTCTGGAATTATAGTACACAGTGTCTTCAGTATACTCTCCTTTTTGTCTCTACTCACTCCTTTAGATTTTTTCAGTGATTGGGGCAAGGCAATACCACCACGATTTGTTGATGATTTTCGTAAGAAGTCACATGAAATGTAAGAATCCTCATAATCCTCTTTGTATAATAAATTGTAGCTTCCTCGGTTAAACTGGACTTGTATAATTTTAGCTAAGTAGGGTCTGCTCGGATTTTTCTTTAGTTTTTGTTGTGAAGAATGATCTTCCCATAGGAAAAAATCATTGTATTCCATAATTTTAACGTCAACTTTCCCTTTATTCGATTTTTGGACGGCTTCAACAAAATCAGGAAAATCGTAGGTTTTGCGCTGTTTTTTCAAAGATAGTTCCACCTGGTGGTGGAAACTATCAGCCGACATGAACGTATGCCCAGGTTCAAAATAACAAATTGTTATTTGATTTGCTGATATACTGTTTGAGTTCACAATGTAAGCCAAAAATGTATAAAAACACCAATTCTTGTTCTGGCTTGAACAATTGTCAAGCCATATAATAATGTTCTCCAAATCTCTTTGTTTTTTAAAAAAAGCGTAGAAAGTACTTACAAGGTCTTCTTTGTTGCGGCCACTTGTACCCTCGTGCCATAACACTGCGAAGGGTTTTGCTTTTGTATTTCCCGCAACTGCAACAAAACTTTCATGATAAGCTATAATCCGTTTTGTGAATATCACTTTCTTAAATTGGTCTACACGCGGCAGCATTATAATTTTTTGTAAATCTGCTGAGAAGTAACCTGTGTTCATTTCAAAATTTTTGGATCCATGCTCCTGATATAGTTTTCTTGATTTCCGTGCCAGGTTAATGTGACCTTTCCATTTTACGCAAATTTCACATTCGTCTTCCATGGCACTTTCGGAGTGACCATGTAGCTTAAAATGTTCGCATTCTTCGCACTCCTCTTGGCCAAGTTTCGCGAAGGAGATATTTTTAGATTTCACTTTTAAGCGATAATAGTCATACGACACCTTGATATTGGGATATTTTTCTAGGAAATCAGTGTACATTACAGACATGTTTACATCGCTAGGGAGATATCTGCGGTTCGGTGCGTGTTCCCGTCTGTAATGGGAGATCTGCGGATTGAACGATTCTATATGGTCGTTGATTGTTCCCTCTTCTTTAATTTTATTTGCCGATGGTTGCACCCCTCGTTGGTCTCGACTGGCAGTAATTTGACCTTTAGGAGTTTTGAGAAGTGTATCGCGTACAAACCGATCATTTGTTTTTTTGTAACCAAGAGTGGTCAGAAAAAATATTTTACAAACATCTTGATCACACGAATTTTGGTCTTTTAGAGAATATTTAATTGTATTTTTTTTCGTATCACTTTCGGAAGTTCTTCTGATTACATCAAACATTTTACAAGTATTCAGAATAAATGTTCTTCTGTCAATCCAGGACAACTTCCAAAACTGGCAATTTATTTCCTTACGTCTCTCATCTGACAATTTAGAAGAACACTTCTTTCTGCAACCGCCACTACTACATCCAGGTAATACATTATGGCTATCTATAACACTTTGCATTTTTAATTTCTTCCTTTCTTTCAAACTTAATTCCATTTTCTTGCGTTTCCTGGGATTTCCTTTCTTTGTGTATTGAGTTATTGCACCTAACACAAACATTTTGTTTAGTATTAATATTTAAAAAACTATGTTTTGTGTATACCTTGTTCCAAAGTTATATCTGCTGATACTAGGATATCATTGTCCTCTTCTTGTAATACATCATTTTCTTCCAAATGAGTTTGTTGTTGTATCCCGCTACTATTATTATACTCGTCTTCGTGTGCAGTACTCGACAATAATTGTTCTTTTCCTTTTACATGTGGTTCTATATTTTTCATTGCCATGTCACAATTCTGAATGGCTCCTCTAAACGAATCTAAAAATTTTGGAAACAAATGTTATCTACTTTTGAAAAACTATTTTAGTTTGCAGAACTTTACCTGAAACCAGGTCTGCGTCATTCGTAGCTTCTGCAATCTTTTCAGATGATTCCAAATTGTATTCACCGTCATATAATTGAACATTACGTAAAGTTTCGTAAACTGCAAAATTATTTTCACTACCGTTTTCTTGTGATGTAATTATAGAGTCTTGTATCTGGCAAGAAGAATTTATTTGAATAAATTGTCCGTATTCCTGGCAACTAGAAGAGATTTCATTTTCCTCACTAACAAGAGACGTAAAATTTGGTATAATAATTCCATCTTCAGTTTGTATAGGAATTTCATCAATTAATAACGATAACACTTCCGCGTTTTGTTTCTTGGCATTATCAAGAATCTGTCTTGTACGCTTCGACATTGTGTTCACTCAAAATGACGAAATGCAACTAGTCACCTTTGAATCCATCATTATATACAATAAATTACTAAATAAAAACGCCTTACGTACATAACGAAACCGCGCTGATACGGTTAATACTAGGCAAGAGAGCCGTATTTGCATTTCGCTAAACAAAAGCGCCGTATGTACATGATAGATACGGCGTTTTTGCTTAGTATTCTGTACATACGGCCTTTATATTTAGGAAACTCCTAAAATTGTGTAGATACGACAAAATTATTAACAAAATTTTCCAGTTTAAATCGAATATACTGCATTTTTGCTTAATGAAAGACTAAATTTAAAGGATTTTAAACCTATAGACACCAATATCTCAATTTTGGTATTTTTTGTAGATACGGCACTTTTGCTTAGGACGGCAGTNTGAACTAGTAGTCCAATCTTGGAACTGTTTGAAATTATGGATTCTACAGGCCACATTCTATAAGAAATTTATATACTCAGCTTCAGTAGTTGATAGGTCTACAGCTGACTCTTGGAACATCATCTGATTGGTTAGAATTTGAAACGATCACCAAGCTGATTGGCCGAATATTAATGGAGTGTATTAATCACTTCTAATAAGTAATTCTACTTTAGTAAAAGTACGGGGAGATGTGCGCTTCGATACGCGCGACGTCCCTCTGACTCGCTGCGCGCTTCACTATTTATATTAAGCCAAAATGGAACCAACGAAATTTTTGAGACTGACGTTCTCTTTACCAATAGCTGATCGACATCATTTGTGTACAATGCAATTTTCATCTATGCTGAACAGTGAGGTTCGTTGTCACCTTGGTAATGACCCAGGCGTTCTAGATGCATGCGTTTATCATTAATAATTAGTAACATTTGAGAAAAATTTAAATGCAAATCGTGCTCCCGTTACAAATCTCCTGGTATGTTATACTATTGCAAAATAAGTTTAATTCCTTGTACTTGATACAAGCGGATAATCGGAATCAATTCAAAAATTGCTACTTATAATGAAAACGTGTTGCTTTCCGTGGTTTCCGAAACACTCGTTTTACCTACGTGTTCAATCTCGGTATGAGATAGAGTGGACTTGGGGTAGGATGTAAGGCGGCAGACCGTCACTTTTACCAAATTGAAGACTTAAAACCTTACACTCCAAGTGAGTAAAAGCATTCGCTAAACACTAATTTAATCCAAATCAGTCTGGGGTTTACCCATATACTTACAGTTAATGTTATTACGTAACTCGGCGTTTTTTTTGTTACTGCAGTAATATGTAAATACTACACGAGCATTTTTCTACTAACCCCTGTAATAAGATGCATTCTTGCATTGAAATCAAACCGTATTGTTATGTAATCAAATCTATCCTATACTTATTGGTATAAATTATTCCTTAATTAATCTGTTCAATCCAGAGATTGAACATTTTACCTCCATTGACCTATAAACCTCTCTTTGATTGATATTTCAAACTTGAAGCTACATAACTGTACCTTTTCCTTATTAATATTATTACACTGAGTAGGCCATTAAATAGGGAAAATACTAATTTCATATTCCCAAGTTGCATTGTCCTTCGTCTGCAATATGCATCATAATAATTAATGCCGAATTTTAGACGGTTACTCCTGACAAAGTCAGCAGATATCCTGTCTGTCACGGAAACAGAATGGAACCACTTGCAACGATAAAAAGTAGAAACAGTGCTGGCACCGAATTTCGTACTAACATTGTGGGACAGTTCTCATAAATAACGTTCGTAAGTGAAGAGGCGAGAATATTCAACGCACAAACCCCAAACTTTACAAATTACTCTGCAAAAACCGTTTAATTAATCAACTTAATGAATGTTACAAGTTTTAAACAAAAAATGTTCACCGACGCATGGTTTGTGGAGTCGAAAGTTAAAACCCGTAAAATAGGTCACAAAATGTAATTACGCAACATAAAAAAAATTAATGAAGATTGCGGTACGTAATTAGTATCCATATTCCGAACTTTGGGGTAGAACCAAAATTGCATTTCCTAGAGCTGAAGTTAAAGTTAAGTTAACTCACCGTTAATTCCTCGTTGCCCTTTCATACGTCTTCCAACAGTTGGCGAGACCAGAGCCATAGGCCTGTCCAAACGTAGGGAGGGCCTCTTGTCGGTCGGCGGTGGCGTCGTGGCCTCCGATATGCTTTCCGCCCAAATCGTTTCCACCATAGAGTCGATACTGGAAGAGCGCGGTAAACGGACTCCGCTTAATTTTCTGCAAGAACGAAATTAGGCATTTCATTTACAAATTTCTTGAGCGAAAATCTGGGCTTCCACTACGAGAGATGCCCGATGCATTATTTATGAGAAAGAAATTTGTATATTGATCCTTGTCTTTTATGAAAACGTTGCATATTGATGTATTGTAATCGGGGACGCTACCGACATCTCACCCGATGCACCTATCTTATTACTGGATGCGATTACTCTTCATTCCCCGTCCATTCTAGCCTCATCCATTTTAATTAATTCTAAGCATTCATTTTTTAGAAGTCCGGAAAATTCTGTTCATTTTTTTGTATAACTTAATATTAAAAGCTTCCCTTTAATTAAACTCATTTTCATAATACTGATGGCTGAAAACCCTCCTTTCAAGGATCCGCCGTTGGCTTTGGTTTATAATTTATTTGTAATTAAAAAACAACTCGAGCAATCTACGATGGATTTGAGGATTTACTTTACGGCCAGGGGATTTATATCCTGTATACCAACGCGCCTATGAAAGGAAGACAATTTCTTTAACGTAAAAATAGTTTCAACGCGTAAACTCACGCCTTTAAGAGATGCGTTTTCATTATTCATCTTGCTTTATGAGGTGCAATTATAATACATACAAGGCCTAAAGAAAATTTCAGTTTTTAAGATGTTGGTAGCGATCTGAGATAAACAAATACGTTCAAGATTTCTTCGTTTATACAACTGAGTATACAGGGTCATTCTTGACGAGCGTCAGTTAGAAAGATATGGAAAACCTTTGAAAATGAAAATAAACTGATAAGCCCTTTAAGGGTTTTGGCACATGATGAATTGAACTAAAATATTTTCAAAATGGCGCCACTTCCGGAAATGCCGGAAGTAGCCATCAACTTTGTTATTTTAAATAGGGACCCCTTATTTTTTCTACATTTTCGGATTCTACGTCGAATTTGGAGTACAACGATACCCCATAGTTGAGCCTTTCCTCCAAGGGCTTCGCCGATATTCAAGTTTTTGTGTCAAAAATTGAATTGAATTTGCAAAAATTGTTTTCAATGCTTTATTAAGGAAAGATCGAATTTTCTTATGGTATGCGTAAGAGTGTAAAAAAGTGAGACTGCGTCACTTTTTCAGAGCTCTCAACTTTTAAACTTTTAAATATCCGTAACTCCATTTTTTCAAATGGCGCCCCCATTTTGTTCTTCACCCTTGTTTTCCTTTTTCCCAGACCTTTAATTTGATGCAAAATGTCAAAACCTGCTCCAAACGGTTTCCGAGATATTCCATGTTTTAGTTACTTCTTGTGGAAAGTTGATAAAAAAATTAAGTCGCTTGATGTTATTCTTTTGTTTTTATTATGATAATGTTTAAACGTCAAATTTTCGCTGCTTGAACTTATACTTCTCAATTTCTCGTTGGATATCATTGAGCGATGCAGTTGGATTTGCAGCAAAATACGCTAGTACAGTTATTTCTTGTTCTTCAGAGTCTACCACAGGCTTCCTTTTTTGTATTTTTGTTTGAAAGATACCGTTATTCCTGAAATTTTGTAGTAATTTGCGAATTGTAGCCTCTGTGGGTTGCGCCTTGTCAGGGTATCTTTCGGAAAAAAGACGACAAGTCCTGGCAGCTATTCGATTACATTCACCGTGTATTAATATTAAATTCAAAAAATCTTCATTAGTGTAACCCAAACGAGCCATTATTGACGAGAAGTATAAGTTCAAGCAGCAAAAATTTGACGTTTAAACATTATCATAATAAAAACAAAAGAATAACAACAAGCGACTTTTTTTATCAATTTGCCACAAGAAGTAACTAAAACATGGAATATCTCGGAAACCGTTTGAAGGAGCTTTTGACATTTTGTATCAAATTAAAGGTCTAGGAAAAAGGAAAACAAGGGTGAAGAACAAAATGGGGGGTGCCATTTGAAAAAATGGAGTTACGGATATTTAAAAGTTTAAAAGTTGAGAGCTTTGAAAAAGTGACGTAGTCTCACTTTTTTAGACTCTTACACATACCCTAAGAAAATTCGATCTTTCCTTGAAAACTATTTTGCAATATCTCTCACCGTTTTCGAAAAATAAATTTTTAAAGTTATCCCTGCAAATTCAATTTTTGACACAAAAACTTGAATATCGGCGAAGCCCTTGGAGCAAAGAGTCAACTATGGGGTATCGTTGTACTCCAAATTCGACGTAGAATCCGAAAATGTAGAAAAAATAGGGGGTCCCTATTTAAAATAACAAAGTTGATGGCTACTTCCGGTATTTCCGGAAGTGGCACTATTTTGAAAATATTTTAGTTCAATTCATCATGTGCCAAAACCCTTAAAGGACTTATCAGTTTAGCTTAATTTTCAAAGGTTTTCCATACCTTTCTAACTGACGCTCGTCAAGAATGACCCTGTATAGTCAAGGGCGTCCAGGCTGTATAATATTTTTTGACAAAAAAATTAGTTACCGGATCAAACCGGGTTTTTCATGCAGGTGAAATGATGAGAAATTGGGAAAAAAAAATTAAAACAACTGAATTTTTCCGCGGGTGAAATCCCGGGGGTTGAAAGGGGCGGAAATTGGTATTTTGAAATTTGTAGCAAAACTCTTAATTTTAGGCGACAATGTTCAACATAAAAGTTAGAGAATACAAAAATGAACAACTTTCTTATCTGCACTATTTCACACAACCTCCAATTTTACTAGAAAAACCGGAAAAACGGTTTTTTTCGTTTTTTTGTTATTATTTTTGCGAAAAAAAGTCGTAGGGGTTTGAAATTTGGAGGAAACAAAGCTTGTTTTATCATAAAAAAGGGGAAATTTTTTTTGGGACCGTAAAGTTGAACCGTTTCCGAGATCCCACGATTTCTGAAAAAACTACCTCTTTCTCAAGGGGATGAAATATCTATTTTTTTTCGTCGCACAAAAACCGTGTATATCTTAAAACTGTTCCCCTAGTTTTTGCCGCTTTTCTTGAAATTTTTCTATTGGAATAATATTTTTTATTTTTGATTATTAAAATATAGTCCTTACGAAAATTTTGCTACCTGGAGCGACTGTGTACGATGAAAAAAAATAGATATTTCATCCCCTTGAGGTAGTTTTTTTCAGAAATCGTGAGACTCGGAAACAGTTCAACTTTCTGGTCTCTTTTTTATCATAAAACAAGCTATGTTTCCTCCAAATTTCAAACCCCTACGACTTTTTTTCCCAAAAATAAAAATAAAAAACGAAAAAAACGGTTTTCGGATTGTCGAAAGAGGTGCTCACAAATGGCGATTGAGACGTCTGCAAGAAATATATCCATTGGTGATGTCAAAACAAAAGCTATTTCGGTTAAAAAAATGCGCTTTATCTGCACAGGAGTTGTTCACAAGTTATTTGGGTTTAATGGTACATTATAGGTGCTTTATTCCTGCCTAGGAAGAAAAATCCATTGATATGTGACGTTGGCAAGGTTTAATTTTTAAGAAAAGCAAGTTTATAGCAAAAGCGCCGTACAGAAAGAGACCAAGATTAAACGAATGATTTAATTATTGTTGACTATAAAGTTATAGCTGTTTGCTGGAAACTTACCTACATTTACATCTCCGAATCGAGACGTGCCTTCGAGTAAAATTCGTTTTCAGACTGTAAGCAACCTTTAAATGTACCGGGTAATTACCGTGCCCATCAGTATAATGTAAATTCAGGCGAAATTGTGGAATAAGATTTGATTAAAATCTCGCACAAACTTTTATGCGGTTAACAGAGTTTATTAGGCTGACGGTAAATTGAATGTTGACAGACTGGTTTAGAAGCTCACTTGAAAAATTTGCATCTTACATACGGCAACAAAGTTCTACAGCTCTTAAAAATGTATTACAGTAGAGGATTTGCACCGCCTCCTATTACCTACGGGCCGACATAAAATTTTAGTTTAGCGTTCCTCGTAAAAGCCTACTCCAACGTTCTATGGAAGTATTTTATTCAATGATTCATAAGGTTTCAACTTTAAACACAAAATATCTCGCACAAGAGTTACGAGAGATTAAACACGGAACCTAAAAAAGAAAACCCAGAGCAGGATCGAGGAAATACGGAAATAGTAATAGCACAACTGAGTAGAATACCGGCACGAGTCGCCATCATTCATATCGGACCTTAGTGGGGGAATTCCCCGGTGTAAAGTTGTGCTCTGGGATTTGGGTCGGGGCCTTGGTGAGAAAGGATGCACAGATAATAAAACCGCATAAACTTTTAGGGAGTGATGAGAGATTAATAGAACTGGTAATACGGTCATGTTAACACGTGCGTGGACAGTTGAAGACTAACAAGAAATAGAGAGTACTTCTTTTACATCGTAATTAGGAGCGTGGTTTTGTCCATCCACCTCGCTAAGCTCACGACCAAAACACGGGAAAACCCCAGAGCACGATACTGCACCGGGAAATCCCCTCACCAAGGCCTTGATCTAATATCCACGATGGGGTCTAGTCTCTTTGCGAGATATGCGATGCTGCAAATGAAAACTCCGGTAATTTTTAGTGAAATATAGTGACGAGATACACCACAATATGACAAGGGAGAAACTTACCATTTCTGTCGAAACATACGATCACCGACTAAAGTAATGATAATCGGAAGCTTTTTGGCACTTAGGCCACCAGCCATACAATCTAAAATCGTTTTTATCTCGTTTGAAAGTCAAAAAATTGTGATTATTGTCAATGAATCCTTTTCTTTTTACTTTAAATTGCAAAAATAGAGGTATTATCATTACTTTTGTCGGTGATTACATGAACCGACAGAATTCCTAGTGTGCGACACCTATGAATTCTATTTTATTTGCTCGTCGGATTATCTTCCACAAAACATCCCCTTAACTCACTTTTCCCTTTAATTAGCAATTATAGGTACGCTTTTAATTTCCCGGACTGCGTTTATTTGTAAATACTTCAAATTCTCGTTTTTTTCCGTCGCCGTAATTTATTTCCCAGCGCGTCCCATTTCTTTATTTTCCACTTTAAACTTAAACTGC